TCGATCTGGATGTGAGCTGGCCCTGGGAAGACGACCAGACGACCTGAAGAACTGGTCATGAAGGGACGATAGTAATAGATTCCTGAACTTACGCTGATGGGTTAGGCCGGTCAATGGAACCCCATCTTGGACTGATAAGAACTAATATCAAGAGCACCGGCACTCTGGTGGGAGGGATTGTTTTATTCTGTTTTTAGCTGTTCAATTAGGGCATAGGCCTCTTTTGTTAGCCGCCCTGAGCCCGTTTGGGGAGGGCGGGATATAAATCTAATTCATAATAAATAAATAAAAACATTTAAAAACAACACAATCCATGAACAACAACAATAAAATTCTACTCAGATCTAAAGATGGCAGCCATTTCAGGAGTTCAGGTACTTTGCCTGCCTTTTGTTGCTACTCCTTCCTGCACCCTTCAGCACAGAAATGGGCACAACTTCAGACTTGTTGCCAGTACACACGAAAGAGATCTCAAATGGCATTTATGCCTCACGTGGTACCATTTATGCCCAACGCGGCACAATGCTACTTGCACATGTCTGGAGCTACACAGCTTCAAGGGGCTTGAGTGCTCTGGGCCTACAACCGGCCACCACAGTACCCAAAGCTGAAGCAGAGATGCCATCTGCCAGCCCTGGCACAGCCGAAGGGCGGGACACTCCAGGAAGCCAGCCTTTCCTCCAGGCAAACACCTGCTGGTCGCCTTTTCTGACGGCACTGCAGAGGAAGCACGCCAACCCCAAGGGAAGAATAAATCTGGATATCATCCACAACCAGTCCCGAAAGGCAGGAGGACACAGTCCAAACACTGCTGCCTTACCACTGACAGTGGACGCTGGAGGCGTTCGGCTGCAGGAAGAGACTTCACACAGGTTCTCTGGCGTTGTCCGGTCACCACACAGGTCTGGAGGAAACAGGGGGCGGACTTAACGTCATCGCAGTGGGACACCCGCCCCACACAGGGACCTTTGCCAAGTAGCACAAGCCAAGCCCGAGAGCAGCGTGCAAATTCAATCAAGGGGGAGGGCAGGAGAAAGAGGCAAGAGTAGGGTGGGATGGGGGTGTGTGAACCCGTGCAGAGCTCGGAAACACTTCTGCGTTGTACTGCAGCCCTGGGGACGCCTGGGTCTCACCAAAGATGCCCAATTAGTTAAACCCTTGGCGCTTGAGAACAGGCAGCACAGGAACCAGTGGCACTGAACCAGGAAGAGAGCCCGGGGAAAACCAGGCATGCACCCGGGGACGGTTGTGTGGCAGGACCACTGCTTGTGGGGCCGCAGTGAAGAAGGTACTGATGCACCGCATGGCATAGCTGGCTCTCAGCCATCAGGGGCAACCCTCCCCACCCCCCAAACCTGCACGACTCCCAGCTGGGCCCAGTCCAAGCCATCGCTGCAGGGACTTGGTGTGGCCCCAGCCGGCTGCAGCGCAGGCCTCGGCAGTAAAGGTATACTTTGCTCAGGTCCTTTCCGCACTCGGATCTCGTCCCTGGTTTTATCAGAATTCGACTCGCAACACAATACCTTGCATTTATCCCTGGCTATAACAGCATCTGTTTATCGCGAGACAAGTGTGGGGCGAAACCGGGGTGACCATCAGCAGAGGTCCATCAGTGGCCATTAGCCACCAGGTATAGATAGGGGCTCTGGGGCAAGGGATGCTCTGTCATCTTGGTGCTTGGGGAGGGGTTAACAGTGCGAGGGGCTTCTAGTGTCCTGGCCCCACTGCTGGACCTCCTGATGGCCCCTGGTATTTCTGGCCACTGTGTGACACAGAGTATTGGACTGGATGGGCCTTTGGCCTGATCCAACATTGGCGTCTCTTATGTTCTTATGACCTCATTGCAATGTGGAAACAAAAAACACCCCGAGATAATGACAGAGGCGAACTCACATGTCGTATAGAATGTAAGTTCGGGGACGGGGTCGAACCAGGATTTAAGGTCTAGTGCGGAAAGGACCTCAGAGCAACAAAACCCCTCAGACAGCCTTGGGCAAACCGACTGGGTCCTGCCCGCGCCCTCTGCCCCCCTGAAGCATACCCAGCGGTCCTCTTCTTCCGCCTTTTCTTCTCTCTTTTCCTCCTCCTCCTCCTGTTTTGCCGGCCAGCGTCTTGGCCCGCTCCGGACCGGGGATGGGGATTTCCCTCAAGCAGTTCAGGAGGCCGTGGAGAGGGCTGGTGGCTGGGCTCCAGTCTGCTTCGGAAACAAGGAAGGGCGGCTCGAGGCAGCTGGCCGAGGGACCACCCACAGACCCTGCCGGTGCACGGAGGACTTGAGAGGCGGGCGCTGGATCAGAGTGCGGGAGGCCCTACCCAATGCCCCACTCGCTCTGGGGCTCAATCTAGCTTGGGAACGCCCAGATTGCCACGGGGAGAGCTGCAGCCCAGCTTCAGGGGAAGTCTGGATCTGCCCACGATGGGAAGGGGCAGTGTTCCCTCTAAGCCGAGTGAGTGTGAGCCAGCTCCCAGTTTTTTAGCCCCCTCCGGCTCACACATTTTTGCCTTAGCTCAGGAAGGAGGGCTCCAGAGCAAACTGATTTATGCAGCAGGCCAATCGCTCGCTCACAACTTTATTGCCAGGAGCTCACAAAGTAGGAGTTTTGCTCACAAGACTCTCCACGGCTTAGAGGGAGGCATTGGACCAGGGCAAACCACCTCTGTTCATCTCTGGCCGTGACAACCCCACGTAACTAACTGGGATCCCAGCCAGGGTTCCCTCTCAGCTGAGTGAGTGTGAGCTGGCTCACCGTTTTTTAGCCTCCGGCTCACGCATTTCTGTCTCAGCTCAGGAAGGAGGGCTCCAGAGCAAACTAATTTACGCAGCAGCCAAATTGCTCACTCACAACTTCTGTGCCAGGAGCTCACAAAGTAGAATTTTTGCTCACAAGACCCCACAGCTTAGAGGGGGCATTGGTCAGGTGGTCCCCGACCTGCACCGGCTCTCCACTTTCCTCCCTTGTTGTTCTTGGGGGTGCCCTCAGACCCCCCCCCCCGGGGCTCCGCCTCACCCCCCGCATAGGGCACCCAGAGTCCCCGCTCCCTCCTGCTGCTGCTGCTGCTGTGGGAGGCGCCGGGATGATTCCGCAGAGGGGCCGGCTGGTCTCTCTCCTCCTCCTCCGGGGCCTCCTTCAGGCAGCCCCTCAGAACCTCCAAGGGGGGGTCGTCTTCAGTCTTAACTGGAGCAAAAAAAGAGAGAAAAGAATTCCAGAGGGGCTCCTCAGCATCGAACAGAATCCAAAGCATCATGATCCAAAGCATTATGCCCTCGGCGGCTGCCTGTCCCCAAGGCAAACGGAGCCAAGTGTGGCGGAGCGGTCTGGGCGCTGAACTAGGATCGAGGAGATTCAGGTTCGAATCCCCCCCCCTTGCCGCTAATCTTACTGGGTGACTTTGGGACAGTCGCTCTCACTCAGCCTCACATACCTCACAGGGCTGTGGTGAGAACAAAATGGATAAGGCAGGATTCAGGGGTCATTTCCTGCAGGAGCGCACAGGAGCGGAGCTCCGGCAGTAAAGAGCCCAGGGGGGCGGGCACATGCAACAAGCCCCGCCCCCTGCTCCCAACAGCCCTCAGTCAGAGCAAGAAGTAGCCAGGTAAGTTGCAGAGCCCCCCAGCCCAAAACAGTCCAGTGACACCAAGGTTTATTCAGGTACCAGCTCTCCCTCCTCTGCGAGGGCAGATCTGCGTGTGTCCCCCCCATAGCTAGCAATCCAAAACAGTCCAGTGGAGCCTGCCTGAGCGGTGGATGTTGCCTTCTGACACACTTCCGGTGATGTCAGGGGGTGTGGCCTATGCAAATAAGCAATGCTAATGAGCTCCTGCACCTCTTTTTCTACGAAATGACCCCTGGGAAGGATTAAGACTGGATGGATGGATGGTTGACAGGCTATCCCAGCTCAGCACAAAGGCACACAAAAAAACTGACTCACTTTTCACACAGGGGGCCTCGGTCTCCTTGGCCGTCCTCTCCTTTTCTGCAGCTCTGTGCGCACCGAAGGCATGGCCCCGTCCGTCCAGGGGTCGGGGGGGAGAGCTTGCAGCCACCCGCTCCGTTTTAACTGCAGACACATCCAAAGGAAACGCCTCCGTCAGACCTGCAGCCGCAGCAGAGCAGCTGGCACCAAGACAGCGTTGGGGCGACCGGGGAAAAGAATCCAAAGGCACCCCTTTCCCCAACTGTGGGAAGAACAGACCCATCACCAAAACAACTGACGATTTGCTGTTGGGATGCTCCAAAACAGGCCACCCTCGCTCTGCCCTGGGAAGGCAGCCCTGAGTCGCCAACCGCTAAAAGCACAGCCAGCCCTCCTGCTTGGACATCGAGGGGGGTTTCTTTATGCACAGGAACCCCCTAACCCAGGTGGATTCTGGTGGGTCGCTGTGCTGGTCTGCGTCCAGTGGCAGATGGACTTCTTGGTGGGGGCCCCAAAGTTCTGGAAACCCCCCCCCCCCAGGGAGAGTCGCCTCTCCACTTCTGTACCACCAGCAGGCAAAGACTCTTTTATTTTGTGTGGCATTCCCTCAACCATCTCTCCTTTATCTTTGTTGAATTGCATCCTGTTCGCAACGGCCCACTTCTCCAGAGTACTCAGGTCTTGTTGAATTTTAACTCCACCTTGCACCTGTGGTGTTCCCCTCTTCTCCTTCCCCTCAGGGATCTCATCCGACTCCAAATGGGCTGGGGGGCTGGCACTGGGGACCTAGATTCAAACTCTGCCCAGCCATGGTTGCCTACAGGGTGGCCTTCGGGACACACTGTCAAGAGCTCCATGTGACAAGAAGCACCGAGCTACTCTACATTACTCCTCCAAAACTTGAGTGATGCACGCAAGCTATAAACAGGCACGGGAGAGCACGTCCCTAGAATGATTTAGGTTCAGTTTTTGGGGCAGGTTATTCAGCTGTTTTTTGGCAGATGCAACCACTGACGAACTGACTGGCAGCAGAACGGTCCTAATGATCACAGGAAGCAAAACATCTCATCGAGGTACCCGTGGCAAGTGGGCAGCCTTTCTCCCTCTCTGGGGTTCCTGCTCTCCTGCCCCCTCCGGTCTGGACGTTGGAAATGCCGCTGGCGGGCGTCACAAGAGGGCTGGATCCTTCCCACGCAGGGGGCTCCTTTTCAGGTGTTTCGGTTTTAACTAAATACAGAAATGCAAAACCAGGAGTCAACCCAGAAGCCCAGCAAGATCAACAAAAGATGCTGAAGACGGTCAGAAATCCAGACATGTTAATGGTTCAGGAATTCCATGAGCACAGGCAAGCTGAAAGCAAAGCAGCACAAAACATCTTGGGACAAATAGCAGATGAGAAAAAGGAATCTGACCAACTTCAGGAAATCTTGCTAATTCTGTGATGGGGGCTGTGCCTAAGAAGGAAATGTGGCAATTAATCAAAAGGAATGAGTGTTCCCGATGGGCAGCCCGTGTTTGTCTGCAGCAGCGGACTGACATGGAAATCCAGTAGAACCTTCAAGACTAACAAACGTGATTCAAGGATGACAGATCCAGAGGAGTTAGCCATGTTAGTCTGTTGCTGCAAAGTAGTAAAAAGCCCAGTAGCACTTTTAAGACTAACAAAGGCCCCTGCCACACGGGGAGGGGGGGGAGAACACGGGCAAAGTGTGGCTTTTTAAAGCCGCACCAAAAGAGACACGCGGCGGCGGGATCACATAGCTCCCCTGAGCCGCCATGCACTTCCTCCCCGGCACGATCAGATGCCGGGGGGGGGGAGCCACTGACAGGGAAGAGAGGCAGCCAAACTACGCATGTAAGAGCATGCGCAGTTCGGCCGGGAACCGGGATTGCTACGAATGAAGAGCGCGCCCGCGATCCCACGGCCGTGCTTGATGCGGCGTCCCAGGTAAGTCCTCCTCTGGGGGTGGTTCTTTTTTACAGCGCGTTATTGGCCTGAAGGGACGGGTCGGGGATGGGTGCGAGCCGATTCCCAGATGTTGCAGTGTGCTCGCGCCCGTTTGCTGTGCCCCCGATCCGTCCCTCTCCCGGGCCAAAATCTCCTGTGTGACCGGGGCCAAACTTTATTATAGTTTGTTAGTCTTAAAGGTGCTACTGGGCTTTTTGCTATATTCCAGGGTGAGTTTCTGTGAGTCGGAGCTCACTTCCCTGTTCACCTCACCCACCACGTGGCAGGTATTTTTGCAACCGTCTAGTGCACACCACATTCCCAGGCATGCCACAGCACGCTTTTCACAAGGATGACAAACCCACAGATCTCGGAAAGGAACGTCACCCTTACGGACCCATCCATCAACAAGGATGTCCAACCGTCTACATGAAGGGTCATTCGTTCCAAAGGATGATGCATCACATAGTTTCACAGGAACGGAATGACCCCTCCGGGACCAGGAGAAACACATCGTGACCTTTCCGTTGGTCAATACACACGTCACCACTGCCAACACTTTTACACAGAAAGGAAACAGAGGGGCTCGGTGCTTTTAACTGGCATTTCAAAAACACACATCAGGGTCTATGGCTTGACTCCTTGCAGGGGGCCCAGATACCCAGCATAAAGAACCACTTGGGGCAAGTTAAATGTTAGTAGTTGCTGGGACAAGCTTGAGCCCTTAATTTCCAATGGGTCTGCCTGTCGTGGGGTCACGTGACACCAAAGCTCCTTAGCACGTGCAAGAAACCACGGAAAGACCACGAGGAAGCGCTTGTCCTGGCAGGAGGGGGCTGGAGGGAAGCAGAAAAGGTGAATGCAAACGAAGACTTTGCAGGGGATTATTAGGAAGGGAACTGAAAACAAATCAGCTGGTATCATAACGCCCCTGTATAAATCGATGGTGCAGCCTCATTTGGAGTTCTGTGTACAGTTCTGGTCACCACACCTCAAAAAGGATATTATAGCATTGGGGAAAGTACAGAAAAGGGCAACTTGAATGATCAAAGGGTTGGAACACTCTCCTATGAGGAAAGGTTAAGGCGCTTGGGGCTCTTTAGCTTGGAGAAACGCCTGAGGGGTGACATAATCGAGTTTTATAAGATAATGCATGGGAAAGAGCAGGTAGAGAAAGAGGTACTTTTCTCCCTTTCTCACAATACAAGAACTCCTTGTGGGCACTCCATGAAACTGCTGAGCGGTCGGGTGAGAACGGATAAAAGGAAGTCCTTCTTCACCCAAAGAGGGATGAACACATGGAATTCACTGACACAGGAGGTGGTGGCGGCGGCTACAAGCAGGGGCGGCTTCAAGAGGGAACTGGATAAGCCTATGGAGCAGAGGTCCATTGGTGGCTATTAGCCACAAGGTATAGATAGGGACTCTCAGTCTGGGGCAAGGGATGCACTGTATATTTGGTGCTGGGGGGGGGGGCAGCAGTGGGAGGGTTTCTGGTGTCCTGGCCCCACTGGTGGACCTCCTGATGGCCCCAGGTGTTTTTGGCCACTGTGTGACACGGAGTGTTGGACAGGAGGGGCCACTGGCTTCTCTGATGTTCTTATGTTCTTAAGACACACACGCACCTTGGATGGGAGGTGGTCCACTCCCCACCTCCCTCCTCTTGCGCTCTGGGGCCTCCTGGCGCCCGCCCGTGGAAACCGTGCGAGATGCTTGGTGGGAAGGAAGGGGCTGGTGGACAATCAGGTCCTTGAGGCACTTCAGCAGGCCTTGGAGGGGCTTCTCTTCAACGGCTGTTTCTAAGGAGGCAACAAAAGAACTTCCCTTAACTGAAAAACCAACACGTTTCTAGCTCTAAGAGCTGTGGTGAAAAGCTTACAAATGCACAGGGGGTGCAAAGTAAAATCTCAGACCCCGGGGGAGCGAAGTGAGCAGGGCTTTCAGCTTCCTGGCTTTAAATTCTGCACAATTCTCTGAAAATCCAGCTCCGGGAAGCAGAACCCATAATGCGGAAGAAGTGAATCCAGAGCAATTTGCTTCGATTGCTGCATGTGTTCCAGAAACTACTTGGTGCCACAGGGGTGCCACAATACTCAGCCACAGACATTCCGCCCCTTGGAAATGGCCCACAGAAGTGAGCACGGGCTAAAGTCTGCCTGAACATTTCTGGTGGGGCATAAGGGTGTCAGAGAGCAGGCCCAAATAAGTAGCTCAGTTCTTCCGCATTTCTCCTCTTCACCAGGGAACTGACAGCCCCCCTGCTCCCGACACACCTTGGGCACAGTTTGGGGAGGAGAGCCTGGAAGCGTTCTTGCAGCTGGGCCTCCCGCCCTTGGCCTCAGGAAGCTGTCTCTCTTCCACGGGGAAGCAGTTAGACAAGGAGATGCTGCCCGAAGAGCCAAGGGGTGAATCTAGCTCTTTAGCTGTGCCTTCCTTCTGGCAGCATGGCAAAGTCCGGTGTTCAAGATCTGCAGTAGCTTCTGTGGAAAAACATAAAATCATAAGAACATAAGAACCTAAGAGGCGCCCATGTTGGATTAGGCCAACGGCCTATCCAGTCCAACAGTCTGTGTCACACAGTGGCCAAAAATACCAGGTGCCATCAGGAGGTCCAGCAGTGGGGCCAGGACACTAGGAGCCCTCCCACTGTTGTCCCCTCTCCCCAGCACCAAGAATACAGAGCATCCCTTGCCCCAGACATAAGAACATAAGAGAAGCCAATGTTGGTTCAGGCCAATGGCCCATCCAATCCAACTCTCTGTGTCACACAGTGGCCAAAAACACCAGGTGCCATCAGGAGGTCCAGCAGTGGGGCCGGGATGCTAGAAGCCCCTCCCACTGTTGCCCCCCCCATCCATCGGTCCTGGGCTCCAAATTATCAAAAAAGGAAAAAAATTATAGAATTCAGCTGCAAAATTGTGATTTCTTCACTTCTGTCAGTCATTTTTGTTATTTTTTACTACCGTATGTGTGTGTGTGCCTCTGTGTGTGTGTGTTGGGGCCGGGATGCTAGAAGCCCCTCCCACTGTTGCCCCCCCCATCCATCGGTCCTGGGTTCCAAATTATCAAAAAAGAAAAAAAATATATAGAATTCAGTTGCAAAATTGTTATTTCTTCACTTCTGTCAGTCATTTTTGTATTTTTGTTGTATTTTTATGTGTGTGTGCCTCTGTGTGTGTGTGTGCCTGGAAGTCATGGTGACCTCTGGTGACTGACCCCTACTGGGGGCCTGGAGGATATTCAGAGAGGTGGCTGAATAAAGCCAGCCCCCGCCTCCCCACTGCTGGTATTCCAAGGAGGTCTCCCATCCAAGGACTTGGCCAGAGTCTTAGCTCCTGAGATCTGACGAGATTGGGCTTGTCCGGGCTACCCAGGTCAGGGCCTGTCAGTCATGTCCAGGCAGCTGTGCTTCCAAGGATTCCACTGGCGCACATCAGCCCTCTGCATGGCCTAGCACTGCACATGCTCAGATTAACCACTTCATATCTGTATCACCTTCATTTTTGCATGCACCAAGATCTAGTAATCTCAATATTTCTTTGTGACTTGAAAAGTTCCTAACAAATGATGCAGTGCAACCGTAACCAAAACACAGGTGCACAAACAAACAAAAAGGAATGTAGGGGAGGGGTGTTGTTAACTGTGGGTTGTCCAGCAGTGACCAGAGAGGTCTCCACTGACAATTTTTTCAGCTAGACTGAGGAAACATTAGGTCTGACTGTTACATAACTCCAAGACCTTGTAGAGAACTCTACAAACAATGACTCAGTGGAGTCTGTCCCAAGTCTATCACATGCTTCTTGTCTGCAACTTGCCAGCTGAAATATACCCAGGTGGAATTCCATATAACTGCATCTCAAATGGCCACATATTAGGGACACCCTGGGAGCTTTGGGGGCAGAGCAGGAGGCAGACATGATGTTGCATCAGCACCATGTCCGGGTGGAATGTGGGACATGATGTCAGTGTGTCAGGTGACACTCTGGAAACTTGATAGCACTTCCATTTCCACAGCATCAGCTGAAAAAGAGATTGGATTTATACCCAGTCCTTCATTACCTGAAGGACTCTCAGAGGGGCTTACAATCTCCTTCCCCTTCCCCTCCCCACAACAGACACCCTGTGAGGTAGGTGTGGCTGAGAGAGCTCTTTCGAGGACTGCCCTTGAGAGAAGAGCTCTGAAAGAACTTCTGACTGACCCAAAGTCACACCAGCAGCTGCAGGTGGAGGAGTGGGGACTCAAACCCGGTTCTCCCAGATTAGAAGAAGAAGAGGAGATTGGATTTATACGCCGCCCTTCACTACCCAAAGGAGTCTCAGAGCGGCTTACAAACTCCTTTCCCCCTCCCCACGACAGACACCCTGGGAGGTAGGTGGGGCTGAGAGAGCTCTTTTAAGGACTGTTCTTGAGAGAACACCTCTGAGAGAACTTGTGACTGACCCAAGGCCACATCAGCAGCTGCAGGTGGAGGAGTGGGGAATCAAACCCGGTTCTCCCAGATTAGAAGAGGAGATTGGATTTATACCCCGCCCTTCACTACCCGAAGGAGTCTCAGAGTGGCTTACAAACTCCCTTCCCTTCCCCCTCCCAC